AACAGATTGAAGGCAGGACTGTAGAGAATCCAAGAGGAATCTGAGCTTTACAGTAGTGCTGTAGGATGCTAAAGAGAAACTTGGCCCCAACACTTGATAAAATGACTTGATGTTTGCCAAGCATTTTTGCATTGTGTACTTCTAGACTACATGTGCATAGAAAGCAGAAAGTGATGATAAAATGCCAGTCATTGTCCACTTCAAACAATTCAGAATCCATCCCAAGGCAAGCTGAACGCTGGCCTGGAAAATAGCAATGGCATGAGCATTGTTATCAAATACAAGGAACAATAACAATAATGAACATTAGAAGAGTGCTTTACAGATTACAAAGTATTTTCAAACACAGCATTTTCCATCTTCATGATGGAAAACCACCAGAGGAGTAGACATGTTGCTATTGTTGATATTACCACTATCTGCAAATGAGGGGACTTAGATTGGTTCAGAGAACTTCTCCTGGTCACATGCCTGAGCCAGGACTCACATGCAGTGGTCACTCCAAGCCCTGGGCACATTCCCCTATCCAAAGATGCTCATCTCCAATAGTACCTAAGTTTAATGCTCTCTGCTGAGCTATATCATCATAGATCATGGAGTACATAATAAACGAAGTGAAGTCAGAAACACGAACCACTTACTTCACACAGACATATTATTTCTCCCACCCAGAACAAGCCCACTCACTCAGTATCAGAGATTTTTTATGGGTGTGCATGAAAAACCAAATCTGAGATTCTTTAGAGGCTACCTGAGCTAACCCACTGAACTAGAAGACATTTTAGTGTGTACCTAATAGAACATCCATGCTCTTATACTTAATAAATTCAGCCTCTGTTTCCTATGAGATCAAAACCACTCTGAGACCAAGTTCCTTCCTCAAGAACTTCCTAATACATACACAAACCTCTTAGTATATGAAGGTGAAGGAATTTTGAGTAAGGGGTAGGGCAACTCAATAGTGATCCCCTTCGAATTTTGAGCAGGAAAACAAGAATTTTATCACCTGTAATTGTCATCATGAATTCAATCTCCTTGTGTCCCATCCTATCCCATGAACATTTTTACTGCCTGACCTAAGCATGGATCTACCTGAAGAAGCAGCCATGACAGCAATTTTCAAGTATGATTTTTAATGTAAAATCATAAATGTACAAGCTGCTGAAAAAAGATGAAAGCAAAGCTAGAAAGGCTTGTTATGCTTACCTAAATGCTGCGTTCAGGTATACGAGGCCTAAACCAAAGAAAAATTATAGCTATCATATTCCATGAGGGAAATGTGAGTTAAATATTCCTCATTTAATATTCTACTTAGTTTTCTTGATCCTGTAAAGCCATTTTCATTTCTTAAACTTATTACTAAAGCCCACAGAGAGGATCGAACCTGAATTTGTTAATAGGATATACTTAAAGCTTAAATGTGTGATACATGATTTGGGGAAGCATATATTGGGTTGCTGCTATGTGGATCTCACATTTGTTCCAGTTTGATTTGTGAGAAGCTATTCTTAATTTGTTCCACTTATTAGCTATTCTGATCTCTAGGGTGTCTGTTTATGGCATGCCAGAGGGGAACATAATATTAGGAGCAGATTTTTCTTAGAGCAAAGTGGGAAATCTGCATGAACTTTTTAAACAGAACTTTGAATGCACTCCAATCTGGAACACGTAATTATTTCATGCTGACTAAAATCAAGAAGTAAATATGTGACTATACTTACAGATGTAATTACAAATTACAACCTGTGCTTCATCACTGCCATCTACTCAAAGATACTCTTTGTTGGATTTCTTAAAATGATGACTCCTTATTTCTATAATTTAATGGAATCCTAAGAATAATGTAACACTATGTCATTTCTAGACAATTTATGGTGCCTGGTGACACTTGCTGGAAATTGAGGAACATTTCTAATGATGTTAAAATATATTCACAAGAACACACTAAAATTTTTTTGTCTTCTTTTTCTATGTATTTAATATTCTTTTTAAAAACAGGAGAATAGGAATAGTCTGCACTAACTCCTGAATTCCTTTTTGGAAGTGTTATTGAAACTCATCATTTTATGAATACAGTTTGAATTATTTTTACATAAATGTGTAAAAACTTATGTTTGTCAGAAAGGAGCTCATTTGACACTTTCCTGTCTTTTAACTCTGCCTCTGAGATACTGCCTCAGATTTTCTGTGTACCTGGCATGCTTCCATCTGGAAAAAAAAAGTCATATCATTTGTAAATTTGAAGTTTTCACTCATCTATAAAAATTTTAAATAAACCCATTCCAGTACTGATCCCAGGTAATTCCACTATTTGCCCTTCTATATTATTTAGAAAATACTTATTTATTCTTCTCTTGTTTGAGGTCACGAAGCTAGTCATTTACCCATGTCAGAATTTGTTCTTCAATCTCCTGATAACTTTTCAGGAATCTTCCTCAAAATCTTGCTCTGACCAAATTATCCTTATAGGAAAATAAACCTTTCCCCCAATAGTGTTTCTTGGGCATTTAATGAGTCTCTACTTAATCTTGGTTTCCAACAGCTTTCCAGATATATAAATGAAGCACTCTAGGATATACCTTCCATTTCTGTGGCCCTTCCATTGGATGGAAGTCGCTATGGGAGTCTATCGAGAATGTTCTAGCAAGTGCTATAATTGCTGCACAACGTTTTCTCCTTATCTTTTAGTAACCAAATCAAATTTTATCTCCTCTGTGAAGTTTTCTATGATGCATTTTATTCCTATCATCCTGCTTGCATGAACAAAACCAAGTATATTTGGGAATCAGTGACTAGGAATGCTTTTCTTCAAAGTCCAGAGGGATAGAAAACTGGTTAGATGAGTTCAAAGAGACATTTTAAGGTGAATCAGTAGAACAGTAGGAGAGTTTTTGTTAAACAGCCTTGACCATATTACTGCACAGTAGCTTTGGATCTACTGTGGACCAGCTAACTGAATAAAAATTTAATAACTTTTATAGATATTGGGCTATTCATGTATTCTATTTCTTCTTCACTGAGCTTTGGTGGTTTGGGTCTCTTTAAGGAGTTTGTCAATTTCAGATAAATTGTTCATAATATACTTTTGATCTTTAAATGCTGGTGCTGATGGAAACCAAATTGAGGATAGACTCATTGAATGTATAAAAAACATAATCTAATTCGTTGGATCTGTTGGATCTGAAAAGGTTCCCTTTTTCATTTGTAATATTGGTTATGTGTTTTCTCCCTTTTTTTTTTTTTCCTGCTCAGTCTGGATAAAGTTTTATCAGTATTATTAATCTTTCAAAAGAAACAGTTTTTAATTTCACTGATTGTTTTCTATTGTGTTTCTGTTTACTCTTTCAGTATTTCTGCTCTTCATTATTTGTTTCTGTTTCTCTTGAGCTAAATTTGCTCTTCTTTTTCAGGTTTTTTAAGATCATTGATTTGAGACCTTTCTTCTTGTCTAATATAAGCGTTTAATGTTATAAATTTGTCTCTAAGCATTGCTTTGGCTTCATCCAACAAGTTTTTATGTTGTACGTTCACTTTCACTCAGTTCAAAATATTTTCCAAATTTTCTGGTGATTTCTTCTATCACCCATAGATTATTTAGAATGTGTTGTTTAAATTCCAAATATGTGGGGATTTTCCAAATAATTTTTTACTGATTTGTTGTTCAATTCCCACTCTCCATCTGGTCCTAAGTTTGAAGTTGTGACTTTGATCTCTCTGTCTGGGTACCTACTAGGATTTGATCCCTGAAATGTACCCTCCAGCTTCATACCCTATGCTCTTGCCCTTTGGTAGTCCTCATGGGACTCATCTGGATGTGTCTGACTCTCTATCTTCTACCTGATGTGACAGACCAATCACAAACAACAGTAAACTGATAGGAAATCAAATACAGATCAATTAAAAATCTACCAAAGTGCATCAAAGGTTTGACAGAATTTAGATTAGTAATACACAGAAAGTGAACTCCAGAAATAGTAACTGAGGAATAGGGCACTGAATATGTATAATGGGGTTTCGTTCAAACTTGGGAATTAACAGGATTGATAAGATAAAGGTATAGAGGACTTTCAATTGTAGTAAGACCCATTTTTGAAATAACCCCACAATTCTTTCCAGATTATCTTCCCATTTATTCCCTTTGGCTTCTCAGTGCAGATATCAAATGATTATGTGAATTAAATATTCTATTTGATACCACAGTCACAACAGAGAATATTTTCAGGTTCAGCAAAGGTATAACCCCTATTCTTCATCAATGACTATTATTATACCTGTCACTGGCAATTCCTCTAATATTGGTTATAATATAGACCAACCTATTTCCCAACTTCTCAAAACTTAAATTCATGTCATTAATGTTTCAGATGTGAGAATTATAATGAGAGTTTTTTTTTTAATTAAAAGGGTTCCTATTTTTTAAAATATTTTATTTATTTATTTGACAGAGAGAGAGAGAGAACAGCAGGGGGAGCGGCAGAGGAAGAGGGAGAAGCAGGCCCCCTGCTGAGCAAGGAGCCCAACATGGTGCTCCATCCCAGGATTCCGGGATCATGACCTGAGCCGAAGGCAGACGCTTAACCGACTGAGCCACCCAGGAGCCCAAAAGGGTCCTTATTTTTTAACGTATATACTGAAATATGTGTAGATAAAATATTTTTATATAAATCTAAATGTAATTACTTCTTTATTGAAAAAGAATATACTAGAAAAAAATCTCAAATGAAGAGTACGTGAAGAAAAACAGCTGAAATATATAGGATCTAATGTCTATATCCCCTGCATATAAAGTCTTTAGACAGACATCTCACATAATGAGGCACAAACAAACTTCTTCTTAATTTGAAGAAAGTCATGACTGATATTCATGGAAGCCAGGCCCTATAAAATATATCCTCTTTATGGCATGGAGCAAATTACCAACAATCAAGGGAGATGCTTAAAGAGGCAATTAAAACATGAAGATGTTACTTAATCTGATTATGGACAAAGCTGGGACTTACCTTAGGTTGGCCCCTTCTGTGCTTCCTAACTCATAATTCCCCTTCCAAGATAGCCTGAAAGAAGAGAAAGTAGAATAGCTCTGACTAATAAATCAGGTTATATCTATATGTACAAACAAAAAGGGTAGCTTCTGAGCTGAATTTTATCTCTCTCTACTCAGAAAGAACAGGATCCTTACTCATTTTTGAAAGTAATATTTATTTTTAATACTATGTATTTATTAATATAGATATAGTACTAACTGCATTTATAGGGTTTAAATTAGCATAGTTCCACGTCTGCAAAATTTGATGAAAAGTACTATAAAGATGCCAGGTATTTTCATCAATACTTTTATGGTAATTGATTTTTTAAATCAGCAAATTAATTGTGATGATGCTGAAGGCGACCAATTTTCCTATTGTTTTAAGTTATTTGTCATTTTGGGAAATGAAAAATAATTTTCTTGTAAAAAATTAAAGCATACAACTTTTCTTTTTTGGACTAATGTTGTGAATTGTCTGGTATCACTAATTGAAAAAGGATTGATTAAATTTGCTAAAAGTCTTTAGGTATCAGATTTTAAGAATGTTTTATAATCATAAATATATCCTACACATAAAATCAGATTCCAATCTATAATCAACAGGACTTAGGAAACTTGGCTGAATCCAAAAAAAGAAAAGGCAAGCAGAAGGGAAAAAAGAAAACAAATGGAAGGCTAGAGGGGGAGGTTTTAACTCCTAGAAAAGATAAAAACCAGTCCAATAATCAAAACTTGTGATTATTTATTATAAACATAGCAGAGAGTTTGAATTAAAAAAAATCTTGCTTCACTGGCCATCTGTCCAAACTCTGGTATTACTGCTGCTCTTAGGAAAAAAAAATACATCCTGGGTTGAACTCAGGAATCCTGGATTTACTATTATTAACATTCTCACTGATGTGCCTTAGTCAACCTCTCTGCAGTCTAGAAAAATATGATAAATGAAATAGAATGTGAATTGATCAGAAGCTTTGATGTCATATTTATCATTTTTGGGTTTTTTTTATTGTTGTTTGGTTTGGTTTGGTCCCATTCTGCAATTCTTAATAGCCAGAATTTCATTTCAATCTCAACAGGAATTAAAGAATACTGAACACTATAATGTCCCAGCTTTTAATGTAGCTGAATATCACTTAGAACAATGGCTGGGGGAGAAAACAACAATAAAGTTTGTTTTGTTTGACAGTGACTGACAATGATATTATTGCCCACACATGTCTGTCTATAAATACTGTTGTACATTTTGCAGCTCTTTCTCCTCAAGTATAATCTAGGTATGGAATTAGTTGATCAACTCATTACCATGGATACTGAAGAATCTGACAAAGTGACCTAAATGTAGATTGTGGGTAAAACTGTATTGTTATCTATTGCTATAACTAATGCCAATGCTCTGCCCTCATTAGGAAGAGCAGCCCTGGGGAGGCAGTCCAGTGTCCCCAGAGACCCTCATCCCCATGGGTCCTACTCTCACTTTTTACTTGTCTTAGCTCCACAAGCTCCCCTGAGGTTCTGAACTCACAGGTCCGGCGGTCTATTTGCACGGCAATCTAATGATACCACCACTGGTCCCCACTATTTGTCTCTGGGATACTTACATCTGACGTCTAGGGATTTACTAGTTTCTCTCTTTATCTGAAATAAGTTTGGAAAATGTTTTATTTTGTTTCATCTTAAAAAAATGCTTAACCCAGAAAATTAGGAGGAAAACAGTGAATTTGAAAACAAAACTTCAAATTTCTTGTTCCACCTTTAACTCACCATAAACCTTGAGTAAGTTACCTCACTTTCAGTTATTTATTCAACCAACATTGCTGAGGGACTACTATGTCAAACATGCTTAGAGAACAGGTATGCAAAGAAAAATAGGAAACAATTCTTGTTCTCCAAGAGCTCACAATGGAAAAGAGAAGATGGACATACATACCAATGTTCACAAAGCTAGGTGACACAAATCATGATAGAAGGAAATGAAGGAGTTCTTAGAGGGTCATCTCACCCATACTGGGAAAGTCAGGGTGGGCTTGTAGGAGGAGAAGAGTCTCAGGTGAGGCCTGAAGGATGAGCAGGAGACAACCAGTCCAAAAAGGAAGGAGGGGACAGGGGGAGTACAAAAGGAGGAAAAAGTGCAATGCTAATGGCCCTAAAAAGAAGAAAATAGGGGCGCCTGGGTGGCTCAGTCGTTAAGCGTCTGCCTTCGGTTCAGGTCATGGTCCCAGGGTCCTGGGATCAAGCCCCATATCAGGCTCCCTACTCTGCACGAAGCCTGCTTCTCCCTCTCCCATTCCCCCTGCTTGTGTTCCCTCTCTTGCTGTCTCTCTCTCTGTCAAATAAATAAATAAAATCTTTAAAATAAAATAAAATAAAATAAAAAGAAGAAAATATTATCCTGGCATGCTCTTTGACCCACCATGAAAGACTGTCATGATAATATGTCATTAATTAGCTTTTAAAGCCAACCTGTAGATAAAAGTATTGTCAATGGTTTCAGCATAGAATAGTTAACAACGTTAAATGTCAGCATTATTTAAACATATAAAAGAAACTTATCTAGCCTATGACCTAGTAATTCTACTCCTAGGTACTTATCCAAGACAAATGAAAACCTATGTCCAACAGAAAATTAGCAACTTTATTCGTATTAGCTCAAACTGGAAACAACTCAAATGCGTATTAACAGTGAAATGGACAAACAAATCATTTATATTTACACAATGCAATACTACTCAGTGATAAAAAGAAATAAACTATTAATACAGGCAACAGCATGGATGAATCTCAGATGCTACGCTGAGAGAAAAAGTCAGACACACACACAAAAGACAATACTGTGATTATATTTATGTGAAATTCTAGAAGAAAATCTACTCTCTGGTGAAAAAGAATGGATGTTTTTGCCTCTTGAAGGGGCAAGTGACTGACTAGGAAGGAGCACGGGAAATTTCTGGAGTGTTGAAAATAATAGAGATGTGGGTTACACAGGTGTATGCACTGATTAAAACTCATTGAATTGCAGTTTCCCTTTCTGTGAGGGGGTGGCAACAGAATGAATGTGCTAACCTCATCCCACAAATGTGACCAATGCAGTCAAATCATCCTAAGTGACCCAGAAGTCGACCAGGAGACTGACAGAACAGGCTCCATAACTGAAGGTTGGGAGGAGGTCACACTGAGGAAGGTGGGAATTGCAGAGATGTGGTTTGGGAGAGAGACAGATCGTGGCCCCTGTTACGGGGGGAAGGAGCCGAGGTCACTGAAGGGGGCAAGGGATGGGCTGGCACATGGGGGAGTACGTGGAGAAGACAGTTCTCCATAGCAATTCGTTTGGAAAGCAAGAGAGGCTGAATTTCATGACTTCTTGCAAGGAGCTAGCGGGGCTTAAAGCCTGGAGTTTTTAAAGGTCGGCAGGAGCCCTGAGGGCATCACACTGGTCTTGCAGAGAAGGCAGGGCAAACAGCCCATGGACATACATCCATACAGCACGAAAAAAGCAATCTAAAGAGTACATAAGGCACACAGAGGGGAGGTTATTTTACTCATCTCAGAGCGTATCCAAGAGAGGCAACATTCACTGAGAGACTCCTCTGGAAACAAAGGAACTGGAGGGCGCCATTTCCCTGCCTGCCCCCAGCAGAAGCACGGGGCTACCTATGGCAACCGGCTCAGCGCTGACACTTGCTACCTAACTTGCTTACACCATCCCCCCAACTCCAGCAAAACTGCCCTTCCCAGTCACACTTGCCTCAGTCCAATCATGGTGAGTGCCCAGCCCCCAAAAGATGAGTCCAGACCCTTGGCAACACCGCATCTTCTGACCCACGAGTTTTGCAGGGCTTTGGTTCCAGCAGCAGCAACAATGGGTCTCATTTCACAAGCATTCCAGAGCACACCTAGTTAAATGTGCCACATTCAGGTCTTTGCAGATGACTGGCCTGAAGGACAAAGTGGCCAGGATGAAACAGCAGAGCACACGCAGCACACGTTGAAAACACTCCCTAAAGTGCTAGGCCCTGGGGAAGAGGGAACATGACAGGACCTCTTCTTCATAAGGCCATTACCCTTAAGAACAGGAGATGTAGTTGACTTTCCTAACACACAGAAACAGGCACCAGAACTCAGACAAAATGAAAAGACAGAGGAATTTGTTACAAATGAAAAAACAGGACAAGTCCACAGCCAGAGATCTAAGCAAAACAGTAACATGCTTGATGAAGTACTTAAAGCAATGATCATAAGGATACTCACTGGACTTGAGAAAAGAGTGGAGGACATCAGTGAGACCCTTACTACAGAGATAAAAAAGAATCAGAGATGAAGAGTGCAATACACGAGATTAGAAGCACAACTGATGCAATGAAGAGCAGGCTGGAAGAAGAAGAGGAATGATTTAATGACCTAGAAGACAGAGTAATGGGAAGTAATCAAGATGAATAAAAGAAAGAAAAAAGAATTATGCAAAATGAGAATAGACTTAAGGGAACTCGGTGACTCCATCAAATGTAATAATACTAATATTATAGGAGTCCCAGAAGAAGGAGAGAGAAAGGGGAGCAGATGAAGAAATAGCTGAAAACTTCCCAAATCAGGGAAGAGAAACAGATATCCAGATCCAGTAGGCACAGAGAACCCCCAACAAAATCAATAAAAGTAGATCCACACGAAGACATATTATAGTTAAAATGGCAAAATATAGTGACAAAGAAAAGCTTTTAAAAGCACCAAGACAGACGAAGACAGCTACAAATGAGGGAAACCCCATAAGGTTATCAGGGGTTTTTTTCCAGCAGAAACTTGGCAAGCCAGAAGGGAGTGGCATGATATATTCAAAGTGCTGAATGGGAAAAATCTGCAGCCAAGAATACTCTAACCAGCCAGACTATCATTCAGAATAGGAGAGATACAGAGTTTCCCAGACAAAACCTAAAGGAGTTCATGACCACTAAACCAGCCCTGCAAGAAATATTAAAGGGGATTCTGTGTGGAAAGAAAAGACCAAAAGTGACAGTATGAAGGCAGGAAACACAAAAG